CTGCTAAAGCCTGCTAATTCCGCATCCCCCCCCCCCCCCCGACACACACACCCGCCCTTGATCATTCATACGCCCATCGTGCAATAAATTATATCTGCGCGTCATTATGCAGCCAGTGACGTAATTAATAGCAAACCTTTTATATCTTGAAACTTGTCTATAACACCATTTTTATAAGTTCCAAATATAGAGACAGTTCCCGGAGACACAGAATTACTGGCGCTGCCCATAGCAACTGCTACAAAGTCATTGCACAATTCAACGTGTTTGCCATCGCCCGGAATGGAAGTTTGGTAAATAGGCTCAATAGTTGGCGTTGAGGGGATGGAAAAGTCGATAACTTGTAGCAATTTATCACCTAAATAATGTTCAAGACAATACAAATAAAAAAAGTTCACATAATCAATAATAACAACAGTGGCAGATCCAGAAATTCGAAATAGATGAGGCACATGGAAAGACTGGCAGATAAGGTATCAATACCAAGATAGGGCTGAGGTAAGAAAATGATTATGGCACCTCTAGATAACAGGAAACCGCCCTGTCCGACTTAAATTATTTAAATATAATTTTCTTCATTTTTTTATAATTTGGAATTTAGGGGGGAGTAGGAGGGGTGGACTGGCAACCTCCCCCACCCTTGTATCCGCCACTGATATAATGATGAAAACGTTAATGATTTGTAGAATGTATTTTTCGGTTTTGGATTTTGTAAAATTAGGTTGTCTGGTATTATTATGAATTTTGATTTCGATTTCGATTCATTAAAAAAACACAGTTATATTCACTGTAAGATTAGCAATAGCAATTTTAATGTTGGCCTATACCTAAAACACTTTTTGCCCCGTTCAATCAGAAATTTATTTGATGACGTCATGGAAAATATAAAAAAGTTTCCCACAGAAGTTCTTTTGTCCCAAACCCCTTAAACATTTTTTTTTAAAACCATTGCAATATGAACTTGTTTTGGTGTTACAATGAAAACTGACATCGTCCAATCAGAAAGCAGTACACAAATGACGTCATATAGATTTGAAAATGCTTTTATTGAATTCTACGGGTATGAAAACCTCTAGATAAGTCTTGTATTCGCTTAGATTAGCTTCTGTAATGAGTAATTAATTTTGGCACACTTTGACTTCAGTCTGGCCATTTTATGGCTATTTTATTCCTCCATAGTCTGGCCCACTGTGCGTCCAGGGGCGGATTTAGGGGGGGGGGCGGCCCGGCCCCGGCCCCCCCTTTTGGGAGGTAAAAAAAATTTTAAAAAAAAGAAAAAAAGAGAGAAAAAGAAAAAAATGATAGCGCAGAATGCCTAAAATGTTATGTTCGGGCGTCTAGAACACAACAATTTTGCGGGGGCATGCCCCGGACCCCCTACGACAGTGTTGTCTCAATCGGCCCAACTTTCGGCCCCCTTCCGGCCCCCCTTTTGGACATTTCTGGATCCGCCCCTGGCCGTCGGTGGCTTCACTAAAACCAGCCAATAAGCAATCCATCCATTCTATCTGTTCTATGGAAGACGTTACGCAAACAGACACACACAAAGGATTACAATTTTCTTTTCTTTTTTTTTTGTTACTATTAAGTCTGCCATCACAGAGATCCATCGGACATGGCTTTGTCGGCCGTCGGTTGTACGGTCGTCGTGACGCAGTGTGCACCCGGCACTAGGTCAGCGTCCATCCACCCGACTCACTCCTACTCTATACTGTGCTAACGAAGAGATATTATTAAGGATTTCCCAGTAGAACATTCTCCGGGGCGGATGCAGGGGGTGCAGAGGATGCTATCGGACCCCCCCCCCCCCCCCACCTAAATTGTATTAAGAAAAATAATTGTTGTATTATATTGGTGATATGAATTATTTATAAGATTTTTAAAGTATGAGGGTGCAATTTCCAAGCACCCAGAGGTCCATATTCTCAAAATCGTACCTCAGCCACAATGTGAACTCTCACACACCCGTGGTAGCAGATCATGAGAGAAGGGGGACACCCCCCTCCCCTTTTTTGTGAGTCAAGAGGATATGCCTGAACATTGTTGAAATAAATTGCATAAATGACCTGGGTTTTAACGAAAGAGCGCTCTACAGCCAGAGTACGTCTTATTTTATAGCAAGATTCCGTTATCTCTGCCCACAAACATCTGAATTACCTATAATACGCGACTGGAGTGCGCGTGCCTTTATTATAATTTGAATAGTATGAGAAAAAGCGCGCAAACAAAAGGTTGGTTTTCGGCACATGAATAAAGTAAAGTAAATACATCAAATACAATAACGTTTTATTTTTATGGTACCGGTCACCCCAGTAATTAATTAGATTGATGATGATGAATTTTACTAGGCCTATATAAGAGTGTCATATCCGGCAATTTAGAGGTACAACGTGAACAAACGTTACTCCGAATAAAGAAAGGGAGGCCATGATTCGACGTTTCGACCTTTATTGGTCACCTTCAGGAATGAGAATACTAAGACAATGATTACAAAAAAATGCTACAATATGCAAATGAGAGGATTAAACAAGTCCACCAATGGTGATTGTGATAGAGGCAATAGTTGGTTAGAATTATTGTCAGATAAACATTTTCAGCTCTCTAGATGCTGACCACAGTTTAATATAGGTTTAAAACGATGAATAGCCAGGGCTTCCTTAAATAGCAAATGGGACCAGTTAGGTGAACTATCAATTATTTTAGTGCTGGAAATATAACTGTGGACTCGTTTGAGATGCGTGCGGACAGTTTGCGATGCGTGGACAGTTTTGAGGTAGGTAAAGTAAATACATCAAAGACAATGTTTTAAGTTATATTTTCAATAGTACCGTACATCACACATACTAATTAGATCTCTATGGTTGCCCAAAAAAGCTGATAAAAGATTAGGAATGAATTTTACTACTTAAAAGTGTCATTTTCGGACATATACAGGTACTATTTCCACAAATTTTAAACAATCATGAGAATTTGTTGGCGGTTCATTTTAAATATATATAGTCCTATATATATAATATATATATATTATATATATTATATAATATATATATACATATACACACTATAATATATATATATATATACTGTCTCTGATACACATCTAGATGTGTATAAGAGACAGGCATAATGTAGCCTATCACAATATGTATGGAAGAGAAGTATACAATAGGTAATATAAATATATATAATTAAGTTTGTAGCATAGTCAAATATATACCAGGCCTATAATAAATATAAATAGTGGTGGGGGTGAACCATGCATTAATATAGGCTGGCTTAGTTACTATCTTTGATGAATGTGTATTCACTGGCAAACACCATGTCTTTATTTAAACCTTTAGTGTGGGTTTTTAGGCGGAGAATCCAATGGATTTCCGCACAACGTCTTTCTTTGGTAGTTATGAAATTATTTTGTAAAATAATAAATCGCATGTCGTTAGCATTGGTTAGGGAGACTAAAATGAGCTGCGACTGATTTGCTTGTGTCTTTACGTCTAATAGTGCATTTTCAAATAATTAATAATACAGTGCTCAAGTATATAGGAACATGATGTTATAAATAGTATCAAACATATTTCAACAACGAAATGTCCTTATTATATAGTTGTAATGGAAAAAAAAAGAAGAAAGGTCTCTTGTGGAGTCGAACCCGCAATCCCTCGCTGTCTCGCCCAGCGTCTTACTGTTTAGACCGCAGACCCCTAGAATATAATTACGGATCTAAGCCACTAGTCTTTCTCCCTTCATACAACTGAAGCGCTCACACATAGTGAAGCAACTGTTTTTAAGCGACGTAATAGCTTATAGGTAGCAGGTTGAAAATCATAGGAAATAACATTCAAATTAAGTTGCTGCTTAGCACACAGAAAAATACTTGATGTTGATTTGTTTTTAATGTATAAATCAGATAATAAAACAGTGCAGAGATAAATAAGAAATACACATTTTTTGTTCCTAGGCAACTTTATGGTTTGCTAACAGTCATACGACAATTACGTACAACTCACTTTTACAAGTTCTTTCACCTGTTGTAAACCACTACCCAAGTTCAAAATACATTAATTCATCAATGTAGTGGTAAATTCGTTTGACAAATGTGGTAAAAGATCTACGACCCACACTAGTACTAGTAGTAGTGGGGCGAATGTTTTCATACGGTACTATAAAACGCACGGTTATCAACAAACCTGAGTCGATGACACCTAAATCTCAACTTTAATCGTAATTATCACAATTGAGAGTCACCAACGCAGAAAACCCCTTGATTCTACCTGTGATTAATTTTCAGGTGACAAATTCCTCACCTTGCTACGCTTCAAAGTTTCTCAGCGCATACAGCGTCTTTGAGTGCGTCCCGCATCATGTTCTGGACACGTGATGATTGACAAGCGTAAACAATTGCGGCCTGCGATGCTCAGGGTTACGTTTTATTTATCAGGGGTCAAACTCATCACTCAAATACGGGATATATTCTTACGTCGATTAGTTTAATGTGACATGAATTGTTTGTGACGTCACAGAGTACGGAAACCTGTTAAATGTTTTCGACTATCACAATATCATATGTCAGGTATATCCTGATTATGTCCCCCTTCACCTAGTTTTACCTGATAAAATATCGAAATGGTGATAAATGTCATAGGCCCTATATAATAATATATACAAAACAAAAAAGAGAAAGAAATATATTTTCTTTCTCTTTTTTGTTTTGTATATATACGGTAACATATACAAAATAAAAAAGAGAAAGAAAATATATTTGAATCTGCTCTGGTTTAATTATCATTGAGCGTTCTGTTGATATTTGGGATTTAACGTTCAGCCATTTATTCTTTGTTCAATCAATCAATCAATCAATCAATCAATCACAGAAATTTGTAATGCGCCAGTATGCATGGCAGATGCAATATTCAGTGGCGCTAATAACCTTGGTAATAATAATAATAATAATTATTATTATATATATATATTTATAGGCATATATATATATATATATATATATATATATATATTATATATATTATATATATACTTTTCAACAAGGAACGGTTATGCAAACCTCACATTTACATCGGCTGCAACTAATTTTATCACCTGCCGTGATTGAATATAGGAGGCCTACCCAGGAAGTATCATGATAATTTCCAAGTATCCTACCCACAGCCAAGTAATGTCGTCATAATTTTGAAATGCAGACAATTACAACAGGCATATCCGAATCAAAACAATGATTTTATTACTAACCTCACTAAAACCACAATAAACATAACTCGATAATGGGACGACTTTAAAACCAGTCAGACATTTACATCAAACTACTACAGTATGGGCCTACTAAAAAAAAAAGAATAAATATAGGAAAGATGTACTGTATTTTCGATTGTAGTATAAAAGGTCATGTACTCCATGAACAGACTAGTGCGCATCTGACTCCAAGTGTTCTTAACAAAGGTAAACATTGGAGAATTAGTCAAAATTGCTCGCAACGTTATTGTGCCGAATTGCGTAGTCCGTGACCATACTGTAGCAGCTACCTGTAGAGAAGCATTTGGAAAGTGTCCCAGAAATTAAGTTAATGGACCATAGCATCGGGGTAACACACTTTTCCAAACGTGCAATAGGTTCTTTAAAGTGTACACGAACCATGTATAACTGGATCCGCCGATTTTAAGTCCTTATCCAAGAAGAGTTGGTTCTACCATTCGTGTATAAAATCAATACCAACCAAACCTCGAACCAGAGCTGATGTGAAGCTAATTTAGTTTAGCTGTCCCCCACCCACTTCCTTACCGCTCTGCCACTCGACACGCCACTAATACATTAAATTTAGCTCCTGAGTTTTATTCATACCAGGTGTCGATATAAAAGTGATGCTGCCGAGTTTTATAAGTTTCTCCGTATTTTAACACAAACAAATAATAGTGGTAATCCTAGCAGCTATAGGAACTTCAGAAGTGAAAAAAAATAGGCCTAACAATGTACATCGTAATCTCTGGTGGGCCATGTATGCATTACTTTCGTACGAATTAAAAAAGTCAAAAGTGTCCCAGAACATTGCCTGCCCAAAAGAATACAGATCCATTTAATTAAAAACAAAAAGATAAATCCGAAGCTATTAATTTTTATGCCCGAGCCGCATTCTCGATCTATAAAGAAGGTAGAGTATTTTATTGTGAATCTACAGGAATTGTTCTTGATTACTGACCTTTGCTTTCTAATAAATGACAGTCTACGAATAATAAACACCACATTGGTATATTTTTTCCTTAGAATGTTTGTTGTTATTGCCCGCAAAGATGTTAAGTATATTTTGTGAGAAACAAAAAAAAGTAGCAATACTACGGAAGTTTGAATTGGTCACTTGACTTATTAAACTTTATATTAATATTTCAAATAAAAATAGATTCATCATCTCTTACATTACAATGACTATGTAATGTCGCTGGTAATTAATCTCATAGTACAGTACAACTTGGTCTGTATAAAAGTAAAAACACCTCATTATTCTGCTATCATCATATTCCTTAGGAATATTCAAAAACATAGGCCCATTTCAGCTTATATTTATTACTATTTTTATGACTGACATGGTATCAATTGTATATATATATATATAGTTGTACTGTATATTGATATACAGATAGAAAACTATTCGATTTCTTGGCCACGCAAAAAAAAAAAGTTTAAATATGAAATATGTTTCAGAAACTGTACACGAAAAAGGGGACAATATTAGAGACCAACAAAAACTATAAGACCTAGGAATCCAGGGGTAGGTATGATACCTTGTTGTGTATAAGCAAACAAAAAATTAAATTGAAAATACTATAAGTTCTACTAAGACTTGAACTCGGATGACTGGATTCAAAGTGACACTACATTATCGGTTATAAGCCGATCGTTCATAACATTTTATAATTAACATTTACATCCTCATTTTCTGACACTGCTTTCACGAGCCTAGAATGACCATTGTGTGAGGTGTACAAAATACAAGCCACGGATGATGAAATAAATATTTAAAAAAATATCAAAAATATAGGTCTCTAAATGTTGGAAGAGAGATAAATTGAAAACCGAATATTGTTTAAAAAATTAAAAAGAAATGTGAGGTTCTACCGAGACTTGAACTCGGATCGCTGGATTCAAAGTCCAAAGTGCTAACCATTACACCATAGAACCGGATATGAAGGTTACAGTCGTCCCCCAATATTTTAGACTGCTTTCACGACCCCAGGTTGACCATCCGCAAAATGTTTGTGTAGGTCTACTGATAAAATGAGGAAATAAATGAAATGCATAAAAAAGATGAATTGAAAAATATAGATTATAAAAATTGGACGATAGATACAAACTTTAAATAAAAAAATTAAGTACTCAGCTTTAGATAATAGGACTCTTTATATGAGTAATTTTTTAGGTAGATCGGTATAAATTTATGTTATACTGCATTTACTTATTTTTTTTATAATTAATAAATGGAAATTCTGTATATTTGATCTCATCAATTTAATATGTGATGGGATTCTTTTTGTGTGCAGCTAATCATAATGCTTATTTTGTTCTAGTAACTTGTTCTATTATGTAATGAGTATAGATGTTGTGGTGTTTTATGTTAAACATTTAAAAAAATTAAATTCAGTGTCTTTTTACTGGTATGTCAATATGTTTTATGAAAACTAGAAGTGAGTGAACGAACGAAAATACATAATGTTTAAATATAATAAATTAATATAAAAAAGGTTCTACCGAGACTTGAACTCGGATCGCTGGATTCAAAGTCCAAAGTGCTAACCATTACACCATAGAACCAGTTACGAATATTCAAGTTGTCAATCACTGCACTGGACGACCACCTAAAGTTGTGTGTAGGCCTACAAAATAAAAGGCATCAATAAAAATAGCATACAACCGTGAAAAATTGGCGAGGCATAGTTAAATATTATGGGAAGTTGAGGAGGCAATCATTGCGGATGTTCTAGTGTAGCTGTCATTATGTGTTTTTGAAAGGACCATCTTTGTATACGGTCACGTTTTGCGTGAGTGTCTTTGCCGAATAGTCCTTGTGAGGAATTGTCCATTTTGATAATACACCCTCTTGCATGTGAAAATGCAAAATAATATAGTAATAGTGTGTTAATTGTTTGAATGCTGTGTTGTGGTATTGTCTCTGGATATGGCCGGTACTCACTCGAATCTTCGTGTTGGGACATTACTTCAATAAGGTTTATGTGTGGGTAATAAAATCAAAAGATGAAAACGGATTCAAAATAAAGGCGCTTTAAAATAGGCCTAAGTTTCAAGATTTTACTTTCGTCACCGTACCACTGCCGTTTACTGGCTCCTAAATCATTGCTGTCGTGCGTGACAAATCATAAGATACCTAACATGTTTACGAATAAATATGTTTAGCGGGCCGTATAAATTCCTACCACTGGAAGGAACGGATCACTGCTTTGAACACTGGCATCCGAGAAACAGGTAGCAATCGGCAACATGGAATCACCTCCCGGAACATCGAATGACATCGAGAAAATGGAGAAGAATATTGATGAAAAGAAGGATGGTTTTAAAAAACGACAGAAAGTGAATGTATTTCTGTGTGCAATCGGTGTAATGTTGGTAATTGTGATCATTGTGTCGCTTATCATGATGGGACCACTCAGGCCACCGCCTTATGATAAAGGTATGCATAACCATTTTATTTTACTTTTAATTAAACAACGAGAAGCTTTTTGTTTGAATATATAATTATCGGGCGCATTAATGTTTATGCCAAAAAAATCTATTAATGATATACCGTAAAACCTCGAATTGAAGCCCTGCCACTGTAATATCAATCTGTATCATGGAGTGTATTTAACTGACAGTAAACCAACTAAACTACTGTATAAACCAGGCTGGTTTTTAATTTATTTTGTTTTTTGAAATTCATGTACACTGTATATACTGTACTATTTCGGAAAGAAGCCTATGCTATTTTCAAAAAAGCCCCGTGGGCTTCTTTTCGAGGCTAATTTTGCAAACTAAAGAGGGGGTTTCAGTTCGAGATGGGCTTCAACCCCAGATTAAGGCCAATGGGCTTCCATTGGAGGTTTACGGTACTTATTATACTAGACCTATCATCATTATCACAACTATCATCATCATCATCATCATCACCATCATCATCATCATCTTCATCGTCATGAAACAGCATCAGCGAGGAACCTTTTGTTTGCATATTAAATTATATACTACCGGTGCATACCTTTGATGTCAAAAATGTATTACTGTACATATTTTTATGTTCATTATGAATAATAAAATAAAAGGTTTGTGTTTAAGAAACTAATAGGCTTTAAGAACTTTAAATAATGCTCAAAGAATCGAATAATGCTAGCATCTAAAAACTTAAAAGTGCACTTCTGCTAGGAGGTAAAAAAATATTTTAATTTCTTTTATCCTGGTTTAGTAACTAGGCATTATGTTGGGTGTCCTGTCTATCCACATTTTCGCAGGAAAAAATAAGTAAATACAAAAATTAAAAACCCGAATTTTCGGGATAACACTCTTTTATTGTCAAATATTAAATACCACTCCACTCCCAACATTGAAAATGCAATAGGCCTTTAGAAGATAAACTAGAATACCTAACACCATGGAAATGAAGGATAAAATCAACAAGAACCCGTGGTGACTCAGTGATTCATTTGTGTTTTTATGCATCCAACAGCAAGTAAATCGTAAAATTGAATGGAACACTGCCTTAAACTCAGTCTCTTCAAGAGGCTTTGTTTTAAGTCATGAAGAAAGTCTTGATGTTACGGGAATAGAACCCAATTCTCTGGGATTGGAATGCAATCATCGTATTCACCAAGCCTAAGCCTACAACTTTGCTCCGCTTTTGTTTGTATTTGATGTGCAATACTCAACCTGATTTACTCTGTTTATTTAGTATGCCTAAAGCCCGTGATTGTGCACTTTGCTTCAACAATCAATTATTTATTTTTACAGACGA